TTATGAATGTTTCATAGATAAATGATTTGAATAATGTAATTCTTAATTCTTAATAGAAATAAGGAAAGAAGAACTATTTTTCAAGGAACTTCTGTTATACCAGGGTGCTGCGTGAACTAAATATGGATTTGAGTGCAGATTACATCCAGCTCTAAACTTGTCCAATTTTCAGGCATTTTGCTTTCCTTTGATTATGCATGAGCCTGCCTTTAGAATCGTTAAAAAAAATCAAAACAATTAGCAGATTGATTTCTTTTCAGCACAAAAATGGGGACAAATGGAATTGTGCTCCCATCATCCCCATCCATCATCCCCTGTTCCCTTCACATCTGGTGAATCAATTGTTTCCATTTTTCAGGATTGTCTAAGAATGGGTCATAGGAAGCTCAGGGAGTACCAAAAGGAGATTTGGCCAAGTGTTGTTTAACCATAACGTTAGGAATGTTGTTTCAGAATGTCATGATTGCACCTAGAACTTCAGCATTCAAGGACTTTGGCTTAATAGTGCTCCTTCTCACTAGACAAGCTCTTTCGTGACTTTATAGCATAATGTAGCCATCATTAAGATGATCTAAAGCTTGTCCTCATTATAGTTTTATCAGCACAATGATGACTGAATGATGCTAGAAGTTGCTATTCTCAGTGATGAAATAACTTAATGCAGCAATTGTATCACAGTGCAATATTGCTATACACACTTGGAAATGATAATTCTTTCAGCAACTCTCTTGCCATGAAATAATTAAACGTCTTTTTATAATCTGACCTGGTGTGTGTTGATGGAAGAGTCAGCTGATGAAGATGTACATCTCAGCGAAGATTTCCAGTTCTCAGACAAACATGAAATTGTGAAACTTCTTCATCATCAGCTAGGAGATTTGAAGACTTGAATGCCTCTTAAAGGTAAATGCCTTTAATTCAGCATTTTTGCTTTTTCTTTTCAGACATGAAACCTGACAGGATCTGACAAAAGCAGGCAAATAGCTAAACACCAAACCATATAGGAAAACAAGACACTACAATTCAAATCTAAGTATGCCATAAGTATGTTCCAAAATTAAGAATGTAAATAATATACAAAGGGGAACTGGATCCATGACAAGCCATGTAATCTCCCATACCTATTGATTCTCTCTTGCAAATCTTTCATCTGGTATTGCTGACCTCTAATTCTTATCCTAATCCCCATTTCAGATCTTGGAAACCAGACTGGAGAGACATTTTTGAAAGGCCTGAGAGCACATGTTCAACTCGCTCAACACAGCAAATGTTGGGTTTTAGATTTTTTTTTTTTAAAAAAACCATGAAATGTCAATGAAGAAATTAAATAATAAATAGAATCAAAATCCTTCTCTCTTGCTGCCTGTTGATTAGGAGGGTAAGCTGCATTCTACAATTTATCTCTCCAACTCAATGTCATTTAATATTATGTTGCAATTACAATTTCTCAGATGTTTCTTCCTTTGAGAAAGAGGCTTCTGTGCTACTTTCTTCTCAAGGTGCTTGAGAATTTCACCTGCATTTCTCTGCATAGAATAATAGCCAAGAAGGCTACAGCTGGGATCTCCCGGAAGGCTCTCTGAATCTCCTGCCCATATTTTCCCCCCCCCAAAAAAAAATGACAGCCAAGAGTTCCCTCGTAATGGAAACATGGGAAAGCTAAGAAGACTACTGAAGAGAGGAATATGCAATGACGGATGAGACATTTACGTTTGCTCCTGATATGGTAGGGGGAAAAAAAACCCAGGAGAATTGTTTTGCAAGGCACTGGCTATGATTGAATATACCAAGGACTGAAGCTGGGAAAAAAATGCTGGTGTGTACTCATTGCTGGCCTGGTTGTTGTGCCTTGTCGTGCCTAGTCAGTTTCTATGAATCAAGGTCACTTCATTCCATAGGTTTTGATTCCTCCACTGAATATTTATATGTGGTATTCATAGTCAAAGGTCAAAAGCAGTGGATATGACGCTAGTCCAGTGGAACAGGATAAGGTATTAATATAATAAAAAAGAGAGAAGTTTAATAACAGATATGAAATGCTAGCAAACCTTTCAGGTTAAAGTAACTAGCTAGCATTTCCAAAACTTAGGCTCAGCACCTTCTAACATCAATCACAACTAAACAGCATTTGGCACAGGAATCGGAAAATGTCCAAGCTTGTTTCTTCTTGGAATTCCAGCAGGGCCAATCCTGGCTAGTACTTGGCTACTGTAGGTTGCCACCAGTTAACTTGTATCCACTCCAGCTACTGTGGTAAAAGCGTCAATTGCTTGCTGTTAGAAGGGTATTCTCAGAGTCATGTAATATTACAAATATTATATAATTCCTGTATAAATTACTAGCCAGTTTTCTTATTTTCTTTTCCATTACTCATCTTTTTTTTTCTCTTTTGAATCATGTCTTCTTAGAGCAGGGACTGACTATTGTTTTACCAGTTACTCTGGGCACTTTCTAGTTAAATTGCTGATTGTGTAAATATTTTAAATAAAATGAAATTGAA